CTACTCTATACTAGATATTGACTCTGAACTGAGTCAATCCCAAGCTAGTGGCTAGTGTACTGGAGTTCTATCCCCAGAAAATGCCTAGACAAGCAAAAACATCACCAGCATGCCGGGTAGATGGAACTCGTTAACTTTGAATGGCAACTCAACTTGGAGAAGGAAAACTATGAAATCAAACCCGGAGATGGAGACCCGTAGACGTTATGACATTGACTCAATGAAAATTCTGACAAAATCCTATGACGTAGAAAGCATAAAGAGCATAGTGAAACACACACACACTCAATCTGGTAATCTACTGCATCCTGATCTATATCCAGTCGTCTTGACTAATCTTACCATTGAATCAAATAGGCAACGACGAGAGAGTGGCTCTGGCGAATTGAGCAACTCTCCCTAAATTTCAACAAAATACAGCTCACGTCACGTCTTAGGGATCTTTATGTGTACAGGACAAAACAAAAATACTGTAAATATATGAAGTATATTTGCAGGACAGTTCTCGGATGCCATGAAAATTAGGGGAAAATGATCAACAATGATAAACAACAATCATCTGAGTCTTCCTCTAGTTCAACTTCAGTTTTTTCACCTACCTCGGGTGTCCACTTTTGCAACTTCCTAGTCAAGCTCCCATGTTATGTGTATCTTCGGAAATAAATATGACTTACTTGTGAATAAAATGGATTATCTTATAACTTTATTAGTTGTTTGTTATCCAACATCAAGTGCATCTTATTTTTATAAAAAACCAAGTTACTCAATTGTATGTGAACTCGGGGCCAGAATATCTATACCGGTACATACCTAAATCAAATAATTGCTATAGCATTGGCAATCCTTAGAGTAAGTACCGGTACTATATAAGTGCATTTATGTCCTGTTACTACAAAAAAATTGTATAAGCGTATAGGGTCTCTCCGTTTTTTACTCTTTAAAAAATGTCCTGGAATTTTGTATTTTCTCCTGGAAAACTCCTGGAAAACTCCTGGAATTTGTTTTTAGATTTGGTGCAGGAACCCTGATCAGCATCAGTTCCAATAATTCAATAATTTCTTAAGTCTTCTGCCCCAAGATTATGACGTTACAGAATTTATGTCTCTAATGTCTGGCCCTCATTTCTCCTCCATTTTGACAATGACCTCTTGTATTTCTTTAGGCGATGCTGATTAAATGTTTAGCACATCCACAAGATCTCCTGACATTTTTGGCCCCCTATTTTCATGATAGAATCTTAAAAACTGGAGAAAAAAATAATCTTTCATTGTTTTAAGCTTAAAATTGCTTTGTTACCCAAAGTTCATTACCTGGGGAAATGCAACAGAAATGACATAATTTATCTAACTTTTTAATTGATAATCATGTATTACAATACAATTTACAATGATTAATTTTCTTATCACTTAACAATGTTGATGAAGACCAAGGGCATGTGTTTCTACGCTAGATAAAAAAATATGTTGCTAATATAAGGAAAATATAATACTATATATATTTATTTAAGCATTTTTATATAGCGCTTACCTTAAAGCTCTAAGCGCTTTACAATTATTAAAAACATGTAAACTAAGTAAAATAAAAATGAGACACTAGGATAGTAACTACTATACTATAGAAACAATTAAAATGGCTATAAAACGAGGACACTTTGGCACGTTTTGGCCTATACTACAGGATCAACCCGAGACAGAAATTGAGGCAGGGCAAGGAGGGTGCATCACAGGTCATAGGCGGACCTAAACAGATGGGTTTTAAGGGACTTTTTAAAAGTGGACGAGGTTTCACAATGACGGATGTGGAAGGGGAGCTGGTTCCAGAACGTGGGCCCATGGAAGTAGAAGGAGCGTTCACCGATGGTCTTAGTTTTGGTTCTTGGGATTGAGAGGGTTCTATTGTCAATGGAAGAGCGTAGTTGTCAAGTCTTGTTCCGCAATTACCATATTGAAACCGAATAAACCAAAAACTGAATAATAGGAGATCTAACAGAACGCTTGTTTATAAGTTTGCACACTTACGACAAACTGTGCAGTAGTAAAATATACCAAAAATGTGACTTAGGGTAATTATGGCCAAAAAAAAAGGGATCCAACCATGCATGCCTGTAAAAAAATTGTTTTTAATACCTCTTGTCCAGTGGGATGGCTGTCATGCATCAGGTTGCAGGTGGTCAATTTCAATTTAAATGCAGCTCCATCTTCCACCAGATTTACCCTCATAAATGCAGGGCATGCAGTCTAGAATGATCTGGAACACACCAAAAAACGAAGGGCTCATTAACATTGATTGTCTTTCCATCAACTTTTTCCATTATTATATTAGGGATAACATGTAGTTAGTGTCAGGGCCTGCGATTATTCCACTATATATAGGTCATATATGTTCCCCAGGTCAACTATCGACCGTAGTACTATTTTTATACAAATTTTTGTTCTCATTTTCTAATTTTTGGCTTAAAAGAGTTGGGAGGGCACTCCTCATAAAATTAGTTGAACGTTCTTTCAAATTGTGACAGTATAATTATATAATTGAGTGGCATAATGGTACTTCATCATTTTCAACTACTAAAAACAGCTCTTTTAATCATGCACATGTCTTTTTTCAAAAACTGGATTCTTAATTGCACATCAAACAGATAAGAATGTAGTCACATATAATATTTGGCTTTCATCCAAGATGAAATAGTTGTAAATTTCCTTAGACCTCTTAGCCGAGTACTTTCACTTCTTCTAGTGGATAAAATATAATCAATGTCATATAGAGAGTTGAGGAGGAAAAGGAGGTCGGTAATTAATAAAATTTCAAAGGATAATTGAGAATTAGTTAATATAAATATGTTGACCTAACATATAGGCTATAACTACATATTTACATAACATTTCTTTCTTTTCCAGTAAAATCATTTGTTCATTTACCTATTTGCAAGTTAGATATAGTTTTTCCAAGTTCATATAACAATTACTGCTTCTTTTTTCCTTTTAGTGGTAATCAAAGCATCACCATGACAACCAGGCACCCTTACAATGCAATGGAGGTGATGAATTCGATTAGGGAATTCTACTCACGACATGAACTAGAAGATTTTGTCATTGATGTCAACAAAAATGAAATCAAGTGTCATCGCTTCATTCTTGCATCATGCTCTGAATTTTTCAGTGGACTTTTCCGGTCAGGGATGAAGGAAGTGACGGATGGCCGTGCCACTTTACATGGTATTTCTTGTGAAACATTCAAGCTAATCCTAGAGGCCCTGTATACTGGAATAGACGTCGTAACTGAAGATAATGCTATTGCCATCTGGCATGCCTCAAATCAGTTACAGATTTACTTCATGATAAGATTATGTGAAAATATGGTAGTTAAGATGTTGTCATTGGACAATTTTGAAGAAGTCTACAAAGCCGCTAAGCTCATTGATTCAAAATATGTTCTAGGATTCATCAAAACTTTCATTTTGGAACATTTCATTCTGTTAAGAAAGATGAACACATTTCTTGAACTTTCGTATGATGAACTTTTGGCTTTGATAAGTAATGACAAGCTTGTGGTAGAATCTGAAGATCAAGTCTTGGAATCAATTATGGAATGGATAGAATACCCTGACATTGAAAAGCTAGAAGATGAACATCAAAATGATAAAAGGACATGTGCTGAAGATTTTCGAGAAAGGAGTCAGGTTATTGTTCAGAATGCTGTTGAAACTGACTCATTTGTCAATAACAATTTAAGTGCAGAGTCTGGTGTCAGCATTAACCCGTGTACGAGTGATAACAATGTCACAATTTTAGATACTGATGACGATGCAGATGAAAAGGGCGTTTGTCGTCCGCAGCTTTATCAAGCCAAAGACCTCTCCACAGATGAAAGTAATAAGGAGGTATCTCCAAAACAAGGTCACGATAAAACAGTCAGCACAGTGACTACAATGTTGGATCCAACTAACGACCCCCTTCAACAGCTGAAACATGCAAAGCGCCAATTTGTTGGAGAGCGACAGTCTAAGTTGGTGCCACTTTTAACCGCTGTGAGAACCTGTCTCGCTAGTCCTTCATTTGTGGAGAATCTGTATAATCATCATTTGTTTAAGGAGAATTACAAAGCTAAAGATATATTATTTAATGCAGTCCTTCATCACACTAAGAAATATCAAAATGGGGCATGTTCAAAAATGGCTTTACACAGAGAGTGTAGTGAATTTGGTAATTTTGTAGTTTTCTATGAAGGAATATTCAAGGCCTACTCGATAGCTAAGAATGATTATTATGGAATAAAATGTTTCCCTGACTACCAGTATATCCATTTCAATCAATTGGTTTTTTTCGACAATGAATTGTATGCATGTGGTCAGAGGTCGAGAAAAGCTAACAAAAGCAAATTGTTTCTGTTTAGAAATAATAACTGGACTAATGTCACCGTAATAATAGGGAGTTGGTTATTTCTTCTTTCTTATGAAAATTCAATTATGGTCTTAAATTTGGAAAGAAAAATAATTTCATTATTGAAACCTGGGAAAAGTTATAAACTTGAAGAGAATTTTGCATCACTTCCTGAAAATGGGACCTTTGAATATGCCCAGATATGTTACAATAAATTGCTTGTGTTTCTTGCAGAGAATGTTGAAGGTATTGAAGAAACAACTGTTCATTGTTTGGATTTACTTTCTAAAATCTGGACAAGACTTGACAATCTTAAAGGGCCAGCCAAACAATTGTTCAGTTTTCAAGATGATGAGAACAACTACATTATCCAAAGAAATGGGAATGTGTGGAGATTGTTAAATACCAAAGATAAACTTGTGTCATTTCATTTTATTGGAAAACTATGGACATGTGATAGAGTTTTATATGGCGCTGTGCTTTACAAGAATAGGCTAATATTATGTGTAGATGATTCTGACAATTATTCTAAAGATACTCAATTTGTTTACAAGGACTTTCCATATTCTTTACAAATGTGGCGTGTCAAAGACCCTGGTTCTAACTTCCTGCCTGTTATATTACTCAAGAGTTGTTTAATCCCACTAAGGAAATAGACATGGGTGAGCCATTCGGAAAGGACAGTGTCAGTTTTTAAGATGTTGAGATCAACTATATCATACACAAAAATGTTAATGGTCGGAGATTTGTCAAGAGGAAAGATGAACTTGTGTTATATAGTTTTCTTGAACAATTATGGACTTGAAGTTGTTTAAAGTGTTTGTGCGCCACAGGGCTTCGATGATTGTATTAGGAGATGATCCTAAACTGTATTTGGAGATAATACTGACAAGCATGCTGGAGAAATTAAACATGATCACCCTAACTCTCTCTACTCTATAAAGTACTGACATAAAGATGGTTATAAAGTACTTGGGTAAAGACTGCTATAATGTACTGGTTAAAAAATGTCTATTAAGTACTGGGGAAAAGACAGCTATAAAGTAATGGTGTAGAGACTGCTATTAAGTTCTGGGGTAAAAAGGGTTGCTTATTTTAATTTTCAGCCTTTCTTTATTGCTTTCTCGACATAAAAGAATTTATGTTCATCACGAAACTGAACGTTGTTTTTCTCCAATTCTTTGACTGGTGGCAATTTTATTTTTTTCAATAAATTATTTACTCTTCATAAAAATTCATAATAATAAATAATTGACACAAAAAGACATTCTTTCAGACAAAACGCTGCTCTTGGATTAAGGTAATTTCACCCAACTAGACACCAAATACAGCTTATTGACCCATTTGATGGTACCCCCGTGGCAAGAGAAAACCCGGTGGTTTCCGCTTCACTGGTGACGCTACTGCTTCTATGCACACTAATTCTAACACAGCTTCACCTCTTGTGTTTTTGACGATACAAAAAAAACTAGAACCGAAACACTCTGGTGCCGATTAATTCGGATTCACCGGACCCTTGATGAGATAATTTTTTTCCTTGAGCGACATGTGTCAAAATCTAACAAAAACACAGGGAGTAATTTTTCTTGAATTTAAGGATTATTTAAAAAAAAATAAAACATATTTTTAAGGTCACAAGTGCCATCTAGTGATAATTTGCTTCTAAAAATGTTTTCACTAAATGTGTTGATAGTTTGCAAAAGTTCAGCAAGAAGGAAACCACAGTGGTTGAAATGGACTCTGTAGAAAATGTATATAATAATAACTAAGATAATTCTATTGTGACACATTTATGGATATATGTTTAAGGCTCACTGACATTAGGTATAAGGAGACCAATTCAGTTTTGTGGGCAATATTATTTCTTGTAATTCCTGTATTTCTTACTTTTTTTATTTTTAAACATTTTATTCATTTTTTTTTTTTTTTGCAAGTTAATGAAAAGTTTGATACGTTAGTTTTGTAAAATTGTTGTCCCATCTTTGCATTGGCACGAATGCATAAAATTGATGGCCACGCATTCGGCTGTAAAAATATATTTTTGCAATTTAAATACATCTAAGTTTTTTTTCTGGTGGCGAATTGCAATACGTTTAATACTGTGGAGTGTAAGTCTTTTGGTGGACAAGTTTGATGAATCTGTTCAATGTGTCGGAATCAAAGGATCTAGTGCTGTGGCTGCTTGTAAAATTACAATAGTCTGTTTTCTGCCGCATGAATATAAAATCACATTTATGATTTTAAAGAAAACTGGTCCACCCTCTTTTAAATACACAAACTTCTTTGGTTTTTTTTCTCATTTCGACTCAATACGAATATCTACAATGTTATAAAAAAAAATCTCCATTGATTTGTATCAATAAAACAATACTTATGTTATCTTATTTAACTTTCTTTGACGATACGCCGGGTGGTATCTGTGTCTGTGCTTTAGAAAGTGACTGATCATGTATGCTCTACTTAGTGTCCCAAAATATTAGGAGACCAGTATATGAATAGGACCTATCAAATAGATTTTCATATCTAGTGGTAACCACATTAATATTTTCATTTTGGTAAGTGAGCAAATATACAGAAGTGGTCGTAATTGAAAAGTGAATGTGGCGTATAATATTTTGTTGCCTTAACTGGGGTTACAGAGGGAAAAAATTTATTTTCGTATGGAGTCTTCCCAGACAGATAGTACACAGTAGATCGTACACATCAAAATTCATACACAGGGGTACACGAAAACGGGGAGTTTGTTTACACGGGTTTGTCGACTCAAGGTTAGTCTTACACAGGAGTAGTTGTTGAAACACCTAGTTTTTTCTTACACGTGGAAGTGAAACCCAGGAAGTTATCGCTAAACAGAGTATCATGGTCGAGTACGGCAAAGTAGTCTATCGCAGTCATTATTTCCCTCTTAATTAATTATACACTAGACGAATTGAAACATTCCTAGTCCCAGAACGGACAACATCACGGAATACTGGCGGCCACTTAGATTCAATCTGAGTTTTCTAATTGTCTCAATAATCCTTCTATTTATGCTAACTGAGATCATTGCTGTTGACCTGACCATCCTACCATCCAGTCAGCAGTCAAACCATCCACTTACCAGTCAGACCATCCAATCACCAGTCTGATCAAAAAGCATTAAGATATAGCAATAAAGATTTGATTTTATTATGAGAATATTTCTGTCATTTTGCTTAAGTTGTATTTTTATGTGTGAACATGGACCAAAGAAAGAACATTTTCAAATTACAATCTTATAATAACAAATGTTCATATTGTATTAACTATTAAAATAAAATACATTTCATCCCCTCATGCATATTTTTTAAAGGGGGTTGGGGGGGGGGGGGTTCAATACATATTTTTTATTTTTAACTAAAAATATTTATTTAAAAAAAAATGTTTGGCCAAAAATATAACATCTAAACCATTAATATGTGTTGAAAATTTTTAAAGGGGGTTTGGGGGGGGGGGGTTCAATACATATTTTATATTTTGAACTAGAAATATTGATTTAAAAAAACATGTTTGGCCAAAAATATAACATCTAAACCATTAATATGTGTTGCAAATAAATATGTGTATTCAATTAGTTTCTTTTAAATAAGAATAAAGGTTAACACTGTAAACTGAAATGGGTTTTACATGTTGTTGTTGTTTTTCCTTATATGAATTGTGTTGTTTGTTTTGATATCTTCATTGCAATTTTAAAGGCATAAACCCAACAAGCAGTTGTTTGGGGATCTCACGAACCTTGACACCATCTAGAAGTGTCAGTGATCATAAGAAAGTTTTCTAAATAATGCTATCCAAATTTCTTGGCGTTGGAAAAAGGGGGAGGGGGGTGTGCCTAAAGTTTTCGAATCATTTCAAAGTTGTTTATTTGGGCGTTTTGTTGTGTCCTTTGTGCAAGGGTCACAGGGTTCATGCGAAGCGGGATTTTTCATCTAGGAGAACAGCTGTTCGTCATACTATTTAATAAGAAGTAACGTAGCCACCATTTCTCTTGTTGTAACTTACAATGGAATTAAGATTGAGCTACATGCATTGCATGTTGTTCTAAGCTCCACAAATTTAAATTCTTAAACATAACTTAAATTTTTGTTTCCTGATTAAAATGTTAACATTGAAAAGCGAAATGGGTTAGTTAAAATAAGAGGTATTTAACAAATGATAAATATTAATTTAATATTATTAATGATTAACGTCAACTTAGAGTGGGTAGCTATTTAATTTG